GTTACGTTGGTCTGCTCGGGAATCCGATCTCCTCCTTTGTCGTCGCTCGAGGGAGCGGGGATGGGTTTTAAGGACTGGGCTTTCCTTTCTTGGGTCATCCTTATCCAGCTAAACTATTCTTTAATTCTTCCGGGCCTTCGTTTTGGGCTTCTTAGTCCGGTAATTGGTCCGGATCAGTATATATACACACTCTATATAATATAATATAATATTATACACAATATAATATAATATACTATGTGAGCGGGAAAGATAGAGAGAGTAGAGAATGAAAAATGCTAGCCAAAGTTGTCTTTCATCCATTGACTTGTATATCTATTTAATATTTATACATACAAAATGATGAGTCATCACTAACACTTGTCAACATTTTCTCTAACATTGTTTGAAATGGCTACACATGTCCTAACACTTCTCAAGGGGCTAAAAACCCATTTACTAAAGTCCACAATATTATAATAAAATGCGAATTTTATTAAAATTACTTGATAATTATAATTAAAATATTAAGTTAAAGTAATCAAATATGGTTCATTTGAATTAAATCTGAATTGGGTTCTATAGTTCATAGAATATATAATTGACAGAATATTGAAATAAATCAAATAATTTTATTGCAAGAATTAGAATTTATTTAGAAGATAAAAAAAACATTTGACAAGTAACTAATAGTGTAATTAATTAATTAATTAATTAATGTGCAGTTAACAACGGTGTCACCTGGTAAACCTAGTTAAGGTAGCAACTTCAACGCAAGGGGAATCTTTCCACACAGTACAATGTGCTCTGAGAATATCCCTAGCTTTCTCCTTCAGGTGGGTCCCACAGTTTGCCTGCATTACCATGCAAAGCTTCGCCACCGTTCCAACCCTCAACATCTCCGTCACCACCCCACTCGTCGCCGAGTGCTTTGATATCAGCCACACTATCATCACCGCCCTCTCGTCCGCCGCCGGAGATACCTTCAGCATCCTCCTCGTCACCACCGCCACACCGGCGGCGTGGCTCAGAAGCTGTGCCCTTCCCTCCGCGCAAGAGCACAGCTGGTGTATCACACCCAGCACAAGCTCCGTCGTTCTCTTTTCCGGCGCCGCCGCCGGGCTTCTTCTCAGCTCAACCTCAACCAGATCGAAAACCACCCCCGCTTCCACCATCGCCGCCCTGTTTCTCCCCCACTTGCAGGCTTCCGAGAAGACGTACAAAAGTGCATTAATATTGTCCCCTCCACGTAAATAAGAACCAATATTTCTGAAGAAATCAGGTTTCAGCCTCTCGAGCAAGCGAGGGTTCGAATTCTTAACCACGGATTTCAGCACGTGCGACGCGTGAAGTTTCAACTTCGCCGATGATTCGCCGTCAGTTAACCCGAAAACCCACATCAAAGAATCCATGATGATCTCATCATCGTTTTCATCAGTCGAATAAATCCAAACACGAGCAGTGTACAGAATACTAAGTGCTACTTCCAGACCATTATTACTTTCTCCACTCTTTAACACGAAACGACGAAACATAACAAACCCTCAGCCAAACCAGCTTCAACCATGCAAACCCTATTCCTCTCGTTCATCTCCGCCGCCAGAGCTTCCAATTTCTCAAGGGTTTTCATCTGCAAACTCGGGATGCGGAGTTTTCTCACAAGGTTAGCAACATAGGATTTGGTGACAGGAGTCTTGGGCGTAGGGATACATTGGCCGCCGCCGCTGGCGGCAGCGTAGGGTGAGTTGACGGTGGACCAGGCCTGGATGAGGCGGCGGAGCGTGTGGTTCGGAGTGATTAAAAAGTCGGAGTTTGTGAGCAAAGGCTGTTTGGTGACGGGGCAGATGGTGTGGTGGGTGTCGAAAAGCCAGTGCTCGATGCTATCTCGGTCGTAGGTTATACCGGAAACCGCCGTCACCGCACTACTAGAAATCCGCTGTTTAGCTACGGACCCAAACGTCGCTACATTAGACAAATCCGTCACTAAATGGCAATTTCCAACGGTTGGCGCTCGTTGCCACGACCGTCGCTAAACAGCGCGTCGCTAATGTTTAGCAACGCATGGCCAAAATTCGTTGCTACATGTAGTGACGGTTATTGTCTGTTGCAAGTATTCGTCGCTACATTTGTGATGGAGATGATGTTGCTAAATCTGAATATTTACGTTGCTAATTTACACAACTAAATTTGTTGCTATGGTCGTTACAAATATGTCGTCACAGTCGTCGTCGCTAAGTACGTTGTTAATATACCATCTCAAAATACGTTGCTGTGTTCGTTACTAATGATCCATCGCCGCATCCGTCACGAAATCTATATATCCATCACTAAATCCATCGCCAAAATTATGTTATTTATTAAAAAAAAACTATTTTAATTATTCGATGCAATATTTTAATACCTGCTACACGATAATTTGCCAATAAAAATTCATTGATCAATAAAAATAAATCAGCATAATAATATTCATAAATTTGTCCCAAAGAATTTCGAAAGTATTCTAGTAGCCTGCAAAATTGTCGGATTTAAAATTAAAAAGCATATCCTACAAGTGAGATGTTGAACCTCCTTCTCCTAATGATCCTTCAGGTTGACTTGATTGCATCCCTTTCATGGCAGCCTCAATGGTTCGAAGTTTATCCTCAAAAGAAGCTTGCATATTGGCTAGTTTTTGCTCTACGGCACGGTCAACAGCTTCTTGAAAGGTAGCAGTGTCAAGTAAGTTCTCAAAAGGGACTGGTGGCACTGGAGAAGAACTTGTCGGAGCACAAGATGTAAGGCCAGTTCCTTGCATAAGAGTGGTGGATTCTGATCCAAGACCGTAAACTCTTCCTTTTATCGGCCCTCCAGTTGCTTCAACCCAAGCATTATCAAGAACTTCTTTAGAAAGAGTTGATGCCATTGAAATGAAGGCTTCGTCTTCATCTACATTATTTTCTTCTTCCTCTTCATCTACATCCTCGTGTCCTTCTCCATCAATGTTTGGCTCAGGAACATCATTTAAACGACGTCTTTTGACGATAACTTTAAACTTATCCTGAAATATTACAAAATAAATAATAAATTTACAAAACATAATTGCGTACACACATAAGCAGCTACTGGGAATAGACAAAGTACTCTATTTTTAAGAATATATATATATATATATATATATATATATATATATATATATATATATATATATATATATATATATATATATATATATATATATATATATATATATATATATATATATATATATATATATATATATATATATATATATATATATATATATATATATATCTCAAAATTTAATGATGATTATGAAAACTTAAATTAAAAAGTAGTATCCATAATTCAATTGAAGTGGGGAACAAAGTGATTGCAAAATTCGTCTTTTTTTTTTCACCAATAATGGGTTCATTTTTTCGTTTTCTGTCGTGTGTTTATTTTAAAATCGGGAGTTACCACTCGTACCTAAATATTTTCCCTACGTATATATTTCAGTCACAGCTCTATTTTCCGTGACTATACTTGTCGCTAACTTTTAATATTAGAAATAGATTTATCGGTCGTCGCAAAGGTCGGTCGCAAAATATTTATTATGGCAACGAGTATATTGTCCGTCGCTATATATGTTGATAAATATTTATTTTAGAAATACAATTATTATCCGTTGTAACATTCCGTCGCTAACAATTTATGTTTGCAACGACTATTATGAGCGTCGCTAAGGTTGTTTCTAACTTCTTATTATAGAAACGGATTTCTCATTCGTTACTAATTGACGTCACTATAATTGAAATCTAAAAGCCGAGGAGACAAATTTAATATATGTCGCTAATGTCATCGCTAAATGCTTATTATAGCAACGCATCGGGTATACGTCGTTAATTTCCGTTGCTAAACAGCGGATTTCTAGTAGTGCCGGATCTTTCATTATCTGGAGTGAGATTGGGCAGATAAAGTACTCTGGTATATTTTCTATGCTCATTTCTCCCATTTATTAATTAAAAAATGCTGATTCATAAAAATGGATATATATATATATATATATATCAAGAATGTGTGAAATTCAGTTAGGATCTGGTAAGAGAACGCGGCTGTTAGGAAATTGGTGTGTTGTCTGTGTGTGAAAAATTATGAGAAAGAAGGAAACTTAGTCGTGGGAATATTAATGAAGTCTTGTGTTCACATGGCCAATGCAAGAAAAAATAGTAATTACTATTATACTATTTATTAATGCTATTAATACTACTTATTTTGTGAACTAAATTGATTTATAGTAGCATGGTACAGTTGGATATTTGATTTTAGTTTGGTTAAACATATATTTAGTTAAAAAAGTACGATATGATTCAAATTTAAGAGTTTATAAGATGTTTTCAAAGTGTTTAGTGTTTTTTTTTTCAAAAAATACTAAAAATTCAAAGAATGATAAACTTATCGATCGTAAAAACTTATCAATTATTTAAATTAAGTGTAACCAAACGAATTCTAATTCCAAATACGAACACAAAGTCTATGATGAATAGCATAGAAATAACCTACGTTTACATAAGTACACAATTTTCGTACTAATGTCGGGCGATGAGTCAATTAGTCAAAGAGATAAGTCAACGGTCAACTGACTTTACTCGCAGTCACCGCTCGCTAGTATCCCGCGTCAAATTGTCAATTTATGGATTTTCTTATACCCTAATAAACGTTCTCAAAAAATAAATAAAAAAGAAATAAAAAAGAGAGAAAAGAGAAAAAAAAAATTAGATTACAAACAAACGGTGTCGTTTCGGTAATAAAGGCTACGAGAATAAATGACATTTCAGGTTAATTCAAGTGTTTGCCTCTTGTAATAATTTTTTTTAATATATTGTTATTTGTTATTCATAAATATTATACAATATATTTTTTTGGACTAAAATTATTCATATTTTATGATAACATAGAATTTAGTAGATTAGATAAACGAAGCCGTCAATTGGGCCATTAACGATTTTGATCCAATAAACATATAAAATGGTGGCCCAGTTGTCTGATGATGCAATATGCTTTCACACTGCAACCTAACCATGGAAGGAAGACGAAGAAATCCCCAATTGCAGAAACTAAAGACAAGGTATTACTTATTTTGTACATGTCGGAAATTCGATTCCGTCTCGGCCTCGTGTTTCTTATGTTTCATTAACTGTAAAAGAAAAAAAGAAAGCAGCTCAGATTCTTCGAAATCATCATTTTTTTATTGCAACGGAGAGATATATTACTGCGATTTTTGTTACTTTTTCAGCTGTTTTACTGCTCCTTTTCGGATTTCTGATTATTCGATACCCAATTTTACAGTTTCCAGTGGTAATTAATAGTTGCCAACTCATCAGTGGTTTCTTACATAATTAGGGCCCGAGAAAATTGGGTATACTTGGATACCCAATTTTACAGTTTCCTGTGCTAATATTTTGAATTCCTGTTTTATTTATTTATTAATTTGGCATTGTTAATATTATGAATTCTGGTTGTTCAATATCACATTGTCTAGTTTCGTAAGTTTAAATAATGTTAAGTGTGATGTGTCGTTAAACGCGTTTATTCGTATTTTTTTGTAATCATGATGCCGTATAACATGATTTGTTGACCGTAATTTAGTTGTTTTGTTGAATCAGCGTGCTATAGTTTTCGCGGTTTGTAATATTAGTATTAATGTTTAACAAATCAAGAATCTATAAAGAGAACAAAGGTGCAAAATGGAACACTATCTTTTAACAGGAAAGAGACGCAAAAGAAACTTACTCACTGATTACCGATCTTTTCATCTGCTTTGACAGGCATAGTAATACCCAAAAGCTTCAATACTTAGTCCGAAATTAATTGGTAGATGGAATTATCAGTGAGTTCTCTCACTTCCTTGTAATATCTACGAATCACGTCTGCTAAAAATTTACGACTATCCGTGTTTCATTTTTTGATAATTATTACAGGATAACGAATCAAAGGAGCCACTCAAGATTGGTGATAGATCAACCAGTGATGTTGTTGTTAGGATTAGAACGCACGAAGGCCGTGATGAATGGATTTACTGCCATTCCCATATTATCGTAAAGAAAAGCAAGTATTTCGCCGATCGATTATCCGAAAATTGGCCGACGTGCCAGATTCTTGATTCGCGTAACTGTGTGGAAGTTCACTGTGAAGAACGTGACTTTGACTATCAGATTACAGTTCTTAGATTCTTCTACGCCCAATCAGACGTGACAGTGACTGATTTGTGCAATGTGGCAAATGCTATTGGCATTTTAAGAGTAGCTTTCGAACTTGGATGCCCGCAAATTATTTCCACCTGTGTCGGTTATTTGGAAGCTGTTCCTTGGGAAGAATCCGAGGAGGAAGAAATATTGAAGACGATACCGAAAATGGGTTCACAAGCAGAGCAAGTACTCGCTCGTCTACAGCCGGTCAACCGTGGGACCGTCGTCAAGATTTTTGTGTCAGCCATCAGATTCGCCACGTCATCGCCCGAGTGTGAAATGAAGGATCTGAAAACCTCTGCTCAGGAGCAGATCGAGTATATGCTGACTGAGGACGACGATGCCCCTCTGTTGACCGCGGATGATGAAGTCAAATCCGAAGTAAGGGATTGTGTGAATGGATTGTTGGCTAGGTTTGTGAACGTTCTTGAATCAGTTGACGAAGAAATGAAAATGGGCTTGTTCGAGGCGCATTTGAGTGATTTATCGTGGGCTTTTCAGATAGTGGCGAAATTGGAAATATGGGGTGATTTTGTTGACACATGGGTGGAGGCTTCGGCGAAGATAGTGAGAGTTGCTGAGGTGGCGTTTTTATTAACTGGGGTGGCGAAGTTGAAAGTTCTTGAGGTGACTGCTAAAGTATTGGAAACGGTGGCTTATGGGAGTGTTGTTTTGCCTAGTGTCAAACGGCTCCACTTAGTTAAAGTGTGGCTTGCGTTTGTGAGGCTCGTTAAGTCTTCGGTTGATGACTCTGTGGCGGTTTCCGATGATTCCGTGGTGGTTTCCGACGATGATAATGGTGGTGGTGGCGGAGATGTGGCGGTGAAATCGGATGATGAGGTGTGGCAAACATTGGAAGGGGCGTTTGTTTTGATGATTCTTGCATTGCCTTCGTCGGACCAAGCGGAGATTTTGACGGAGTGGTTGGAGAATAAACAGATTAGGTATCCAGATTTGACGGAGGCGTTTGAAGTGTGGTGTTATAGGTCCAAAGTTGCTAAGCGAAGGCTGGGTCTTTTGGACGGTGACAGTCGGAAAACTAACGGAGTGTGAATTTGAATTGTTCGGTGGCATTTTTTTGTGCCTATTGAAACTAAACTGTATTATGTTTTTTTGTATCGGTATTATAGTTTGTAAAATGTATTTACTAATTTTGATATATATATATATGTTTCGTATATTTTTAATATTTCAATATTTGTTATTTTAAATTCCTCATATAGAATTATTTTAAGCCACTTTCGCGGGAAAACGACAGCTGAAATGACTTCTCTCTCCTTTCTAATTTATCTTAAACAACCATTAATAAACATATAATGGTAGGAAATGACTTCTCTCTCCTTTCTAATTACCACTCTATTTGTGCTATTTTATTTATCTCTTCATATAAAAAATTCAAATAATTATAAAATCCTTATCATTTATTTGTCTCTAACAATCTTTTGTACCATATAAAAGGGTTATTTCCTAAAGTTTTCCAAATTAAATGCAGGAAATTTCTCAGAAACTACGGTGAAACATGGGAAATTAAATTCTACACCTCGTTATTTTCACCGCGTGACTGTTGGCCGTAAATCTGCATAATATCTAGTTTCGATGTGTGAATGAAACCTTAAATAGTGCTAGAATTCAAGGCCATAAACATCACATCACATCTCCGACAGAAACAATGGCGTAAACAAATTATACGGAAAAGCAATAAATAAACATTTAAAAATCAAACAAATCATGATGTCATAAATGAAGCGTTATTCCGAGTTTCCGTACACAGAGTTGAATGAGACCGTACTTTTAAGAGACTCAAGTCAACTTTTCATAAATTCTACTTTGACATTTATCTCCATATCTAATTATATATACATTTTTTTTATGTATTTTTTGTCTTTTTCTGCACCATTCATTGATTGTCAACCTCAAAACCTTATTACCCCATTTAATTTCCAGGTGCTTTAACAGGTTCCGTATAAGTCACGGCATAAAATTTAATTTGCAGTTTAATTTTCTTGATGAAATTAATTTTAAAATACATATACACACAACATCTAAATATAGAAAAAATAAATAAAACTGTGAGAATAAATTTATAATGCAACACTAATATTAAAATGTTAAAAAAAAGTGAGAAAGAGAAGTGGAATTTGGCTACTTAATTAATTAATTTATTTTTTAAATTTTTTTAATTATAGTGGAGTAAAAGCTGTAAGGCAGTAACTTAAAATAATAATTGAAATCCAAGCAAAAGTCCACTGATGAACAACCTAGACTAGTGATAGTGAAGGAACTGCTTTTTGTCATCACATATATATAGCAATTATCAAACATAGAAAGTAAAATATCAATAAACTATATGTCGTATCGTATCATCAATTTCATAATCCCCCACCACTTTTCAAACTTTCATTAATGTGGGAAGGTGACTACCCTCCAAAATCTGCATTCTCTCTCTCTCTCTCTCTCTCTCTCTCTCTCTCTCTCTCTCTCTCTCTCTCTCTCTCTCTCTCTTAAATTTGTCTATAAATATAGCAAGTCCACAATCAAAATTGCATTACACATATAGGGCGTGGTTTTCTCCATTTTCACACACTCTCTCACAACCCCACTATTTTCTTGGTAGTGAATGTGCATTTGGTCTGAAAATGAAGTCCATAGCTAGAAAGATCAAATCCATTTTCATGGAGACCGTGAAAGAAACCAAGAGAGTCGGAGAAGAAGATCCGCGAAGAATCATACACGCCATGAAAGTTGGATTCGCCCTAACGTTAGTGTCGTTATTCTACTACTTCAGGCCTCTCTACAACGGATTCGGACAGGCCGGAATGTGGGCTATCTTAACGGTTGTCGTCGTCTTTGAGTTCACTGTCGGTAAGTTATATATTTCATAAATCATTATATATTTTCAATTAATATACTTTTTTTTTAATTAATTATTGACCTTCTTTCTTTTTTTTTTTCTTTTTTTTTTAATTTAAGGCGGAACCCTATCGAAAAGCTTAAACAGAGGTTGTGCAACGTTGGTAGCTGGTGCCCTAGGCGTCGGAGCCGAGTACTTGGCCGCTCTTTGTGGTGATAAAGGAGAGCCAGTTGTTCTTGGGCTAATGGTCTTCTTTCTAGGTATATATAATAAATGCATTAAAGTAAATTACATTAATATATAAAAGATTAGATTACGTATTTTTTACGATCAAATTATAATGTGCAGCTACAACATCTACGTTTACGAGGTTTTTTCCGAATGTGAAGAGGAAGTACGATTACGGGGTGCTGATATTTATACTGACATTCAGTTTAGTGGCTGTATCGGGTTTCCGGGTCGACCAAATCTTGCACTTGGCCCATAGAAGGCTTTCCACCATTCTCATAGGCGGAGCATCATGTATTGTGATATCCATATTCGTCTGCCCCGTTTGGGCGGGTCAAGATTTGCATAATCTTATTGCTGCAAATATCGAAAAGCTTGGTGCCTTCTTAGAAGGTACATATATACACACGTGATAGAAAAAGTAAATTACAAAAAGACAAATTCATCGTCTAGCAATAAAGACGAAAAAAAAGCGACGGTTACACGTTTCTATTTTAATGGTGTATGCTTTTTCATGCACTAATATGTATTTCTATTTCTTGGAAATTTGACTTTTAATTATAGGTTTTGGAACCGAATTTCTTATATTTCACGGTGATGAAAGTGGCAAGATCAATTCATCTTGCAAGCACGGTGATCAAAAGTCGTTTCTCGAGGGATATAAAAGCGTGCTTAATTCGAAGGCCACTGAAGAATCTTTGGTAAATTTAACTATATATTCTCATACATAAAACTTGTATGATTACATATATATTAGTTTGATTCATATATAATGATTTTGGATTAAATATTAATTCAGGCAAATTTTGCATGGTGGGAGCCTCCTCATGGTCGATTTAGGTTTAATCATCCATGGAAACAATACTTGAAGATTGGGGCTCTAGCCAGGGATTGTGCATGCCTAATCCAATCACTTAACGGATACATTAACTCTAAATCCCAGTCATTAGTACGTATTAATTAATCACTAATCACTTTGACATAATCATTAATTATGATTGAAATTAACTGAATTGTAACATGCATGCATGCAGGTAGAATCAGAAGTAAAAATGAAAATAAAAGAATCGTGCATGAAAATGAGCATGGAATCCGGCAAGGCACTAAAAGAATTAGCGTCTGCAGTTAAAACGACGGCGTTTCATCCATTACTAGCTGCTGGGGCCCACTTGCAGAATTCCAAATCAGCAGCAGATGACCTAAAAATCGCACTCGAAAACTCTTCTTTATTATCGGCAAAAGCGGACTTACAAGAAATAATGCCGCTTCTCGTTGTCGCGTCCGTACTTATCGATATCAACGACGGCGTTGACAAAATTTATGAGTCGGTCAACGAGCTTTCTCTAAAAGCGTGTTTCAAGAACAATCCAAAGTCGTCAAAAGCATGTGAACTTCATCAGCAAGTGATTATTCATCGAGGGGTTGTGAAACCCGTTAATGATAGCGAGGAGCACGTTGTCGTTGTGGTTGTTGATGGCGGCGCGTCGGCTGAGGAATCGCCGGAGAAGGAGAACCGCCACCCACCGCCTCAGTGAGATATCAGCTAGCTAGCTAGACCTTGCGCTGTCGATATTTTCCTTAAATAATAATAATAATAATAATAATAATAATATATGAATAAATAAATAAATAATAAATATGTGGCCGTACTAATGCATGAGACTGCGTGTACGTGGGTCGATGATGTATTTGTGGCGGTGACATGTGAATCAGTGATATATAGACTATAGTGCTAAAACAATATATATACATCTGTAATTTTATATTATAGTATAGTTATCTATTTAATTATGTTTGTAGTTTTAAATAATATATAGTTTTTAATAAGAGATGAACAATGAGGAAGTGGTGTGGAGATGCATGTAAGCTTTCGGTGATCTTTCTGGTCGATGTCGAAATCAATTTGGTTTTTATTCCAATAATATATTAAAAATAATTATTTTCATATGATATCTCTATTTTTTTATTTAAACGGGTAGTTAGATGCTACACCTGTTTATATATACCGGATTAATTTGAACTGTAGATTTAATTAAATAACTACTCACTAAGCACACATATATATGAGCGTGTGTAACTATGTATAGATCTGCGGTTCAAATTAATCATTATAAATAACAAAATATATATAATTGATTAATTTACCATTTAATAACACTAAAATATTTTTGCTTTTAATTTATAAAGTCGGAAAGGCTAATAAAGTATGTCTATATATGTTAAGTACCACGAATTACAACTTTTTTATGATAAAGATTGAAAAAATTGTTTGTGGTGCAAGGATTATTTCCATTCATTGAGATATTGTATCTTAATTTGTTTTTTTAATCATTCTTTTATGAATAAAGTACATATTACACACTACTTGAAAAGTAGTGGAGTTACTTATTCATGTTGAAAATTAAAATTGATATTAGTACATTTATCACTTATTACAATCACTCTCCACCACCTAAATTGCTTCCCAATTAATAATAATAATAATTGGGAAAATAATATTGATCTAATTGTATATATATTTTATTAATAAGAGATTCTGCTTCGTCAAGGCAGCTGAGATCGTATGCGGCTGATTTTGACTATCTGATATTGCCTTCACCTGTTACATTTAACTTGAGTCCTATTTGACAAAGGCGCGTAGAGTGGACTATATTACAAAAGTAAATATTAAATAATATTTAATCTTTTCCTTTAGATGTAGAAAATTTCATATAAAAGTAAAAACGTGCTTCAAACGGGCCATTATCGAGTAGCGGGCTGACTTTTACGAAGCCCATTTAACTGTAATTTAGACGGGCTTAATAATTCCTGACCCATTCGCAGATATTTGATCGTCACGATGATGATGTCATCTTCCCCATTAAGAAAGGTGACACATGTCTGCATGCAATGAATTAGTATATATCTTCACTCTACTATTATCATATGATCGAATTATAATTTGATAATAAGTAGTCATTTGGACATAATAAATATTAGATCTATTTGTAAATTCGGAGAATTATTATCTGTCAAATGAAATATATGCGAGCTTTGCAGGTCGAGTCGGAAAATCCGCGGTGCATGACGTACAATGAGCAGAGAATGTGTGGCATGGCCTCGTTGGTTAAGGAAATGGCAGCGTTCCGTCAAATATAATATTAGCTGCTGGGACCCACATACGCAATGCCAGATCAGCGGTCGATGAGCTGACGGACACAGTCGATAAGCGCACTTTCTTATCAACAAAAGAATCCGTACAAGAAATCACGTTGCGCTTGTCATCATTTCATCCTTAAATTGTCGACGTCATCAATTGCGTCGACAATATTTTGCAACCGACTCGTGAACTTGTCCAAACTGTATGTTTCCCTAACTATCGAAAACCATGTGCCACGTGGTACGTAGTATACTACGCTCGAAGAAGCTCGTCGAAAAGTGCTTCATCAAGAAACTGTGACGTTGATATGTACATGCATGATTCATATATATGATATATCCATACATATATCTATAATCAATACATATTGATCTCAATATCCATTTGTTCATCTTTTTAAATAAAATAGAATATCAATGTTTTTCTATAATCAAATATTAGTCATTAGGAAAACAAATACTGGCATAAATTGAAAGAACCTTTTTTAGAAGGCCCGTCAAACAAATACGGGCCTAAATTTCAATATGTATCACAATTACGATTTTACCAGTTTACCACTCTTCTGTAAAATGTTTAATTATAATTTTTTGAAAATTGAAGATTACTTGAATCCAATTGATCAAATAATTCATTTTTGGCCGAATTTGTGTTATTTTAATTTCTAACTAACACTGTTTTTTTATAAAGAAAATTCCATAATTACCCCTCTTTTACTTGTAAGTTTTAATAATGTATTTTTTAATTTAATTAGTGAATTTCATCTTGCTTGGACTCCAAGATATACGAGAGGACGGTACAACAGTATAACTGATTTAAAATAGTGTAATTCCCCAATTACCCCGGAGGAATATTTTAATTACACCAATATACCCTGGGCTCAAAACCCAATTATAAATAAGCCTCCGTCTCTCTCTCATCGGCATTAAAAATTCTCCCCCCTTTTTTTATAATAAAATACAGTTAGTAGCGGTTACGTGAGAAACAGATTCAGTCATGGAGGATAGCGGCACGACGGTGTTCCCGTTGTTTTTCCACGACAACGAGATGGTGAACGAGTTGGGAGATATCGAAATTCATCAAGCCATGGAATTCGGTATTCTTCAGTTGATGATAAAAAATAGAATTCGGGTGTCGACGGCGGATCAAATTTGGACATACGTCGTCCCGCTGGATGAGAACGGTGAACCGACGATCTCGCTGGATCGTCCTGCATTTCTGGTAAACCCATGGACCAACTTCCGCCAAGTATGTAGCCTGAAGAAACGTTGCTTTTTCATCTACTTGAAAAGGCAAACTCAATGGGAGAATTATCAACCGGCAAACACTTTGTATTCTAGTACTAGTATTTGGGGTGCGGACAATCTGACTACGCTACCGAGGAATCAACCGGCGCTGGTTCCCCGACAAAATACGCAAGCGCAGCTGGCTTTTTTGAACCCTCGGATGAATCTTGATGAATTTCAAGGTCAGTTTGCAAGAGCGAGCGTTCAAACTCGGAGGGAGAATTATCAACCGGCAATGGCGACCAGGTATTCGTATCACCCGAACTTGGGGCCGGGGCATGTTTCGGATCCGGCTCGGATGAATCATGATGAACTTGAACGGCTGCGAAGCGCGAGCGTTCAAACTCGGAGGGAGAATTATCAACCGGCAATGGCGACCGGGTATTCGGGTCAACCGAACTTGGGGACGGGGCATGTTTCGGATCCGGCTCGGATGAATCTTGATGAACTTGAACGGCTGCGAAGCGCGAGCGTTCAAACTCCGATGGAGAATTATCAACCGGCAATGGCGACCGGGTATTCGTATCAGCCGAACTTGGGGCCGGGGCATTTTTCGGGTCGGCCGAACTTGGGGACGGGGTATTTTTCGGGTCGGCCGAACTTGGGGCCGGGGTATTTTTCGGGTCGGCCGAACTTGGGGCCGGGGTATGTTCCGGATCGGCCGAACTTGGGGCCGGGGTATGTTCCGGATCGGCCGAACTTGGGGCCGGGGTATGTTCCGGATCGGCGGCCGGGGTATGTTACGCATCGGCGGCCGGGGTATGTTACGGGTCGGCTGAACTTGGGGCCGGGGTATGTTTCGGATCAGGCTGATTTGAACGCTCCGATGAAGTTTGATGAAAGTGAACGGTTGCAAATGGCGAACCTTCAACCTCAGAGGGAGAATTATGAAAGGGCAATGGCGACCAGATATGATCGGCCAAACTTTGGGCCGGGTCATGTTTCGGGTGGGGCTGATTTGAACCCTCAGATGAAGCCTGATGAACTTCAAGGTCAGTCGCAAAGGGCGAACCTTCAAACTCAGGGGGAGAATTATCAAACGGCAATGGCGACCGGATATTCGGATCCGCCAAACTTGGGGCCGGGCCATGTTTCGGGTCGGGCTGATTTGAAGCCTGATGAACTTCAAGGTCAGTCGCAAAGGACGAACATTCAAACTGATCAGAGTGAGGAGAATTATCAAACGGCAATGGCGACCGGATATTCAGATCCGCCAAACTTGGGGCCGGGCCATGTTTCGGGTCGGGCTGATTTGAACCCTGATGAACTACAAGATCAGTCGCAAAAAACGAACACTCAAACTGATCAGGGGGAGAATTATCAAACGGAAATGGCGACCGGATATTCAGATCCGCCAAACTTGGGGTCGGGCCATGTTTCGGGTGGGGCTGATTTGAACCCTGAGATGAAGCCTGATGAACTTCAAGGTCAGTCGCAAACGGCGAGCATTCAAACTGATCAGAGGGAGGAGAATTATCAAACGGCAATGGCGACCCCATATTTGGATCGGCTGAAATTTGGGCCGGGTCATGTTTCGGGTCGGGCTGATTTGAACCCTCAGACGAAGCTTGATGAACTTCAAGGTCAGTCGCAAATGGCGAGCGTTCAAAATCAGAGGGAGAATCATCAAACGGCACCGCCAACGGAGCCGGGGGATGTTTCGGATCCTAATCTGAGTTTAGATTCGTTTCCTCCGCTTGAGAAGAGTGTTAATTCAAGATTGCAGACGAAGAAGAAGGCTAAGCCAAAGAAGAATAACTGCGAGGAGTGCTGGAACGCGCAGAAAAATGGCGTCCCGACGCCGTTCCATCACTGCGTTAATGACCCGGTAGTTAGTGAGTCCGGAACTCGGGATGGTAGGCCCACTTGAGATAATTTCTTGGGTTATTCGTGATGGTTGTTACTGGTATTGATTTTTTGACCATTATGCCCTCGAAAAGGGAGGGAAATATTCATGTTTTTTGTTTTTTTTTTCTGCTTTGATTCTCGTAGCTGTTTGAGTTGAGGAAATTCGTGAATCGGTATTTTAGTTTTAGACTTTAGTGTTGTTCGTAAATTCGTAAACCGGTATTCGTAACGGAAGCTTAATTGCATGGTGTATATTTTGGTGATTAGAGATTAATTGACTCTTCCATTACAAGTTAATGCTGAATTTTCCTAACTCTAACTGCTTCTGTTATTCATTTTACTTTAACTTGCTTGTGTAATTACTGTCATTGTCACTAAAGATTAGCTTAAATGGTATTGATCGAGATCAATCGGCACGGGTTCGAATCTCTTCTTTCGTCTCAAGTTTGGATGGCCTAATCCAAATTCAATTCTTCGATTTTTTTTTAAGACTCTTCGTTGTTCGGAGAGGTATATATTGTTCATGAGTTCGAATCTCTCTCGGTGCATATATAAATGTTGTAATGATTATTTCTCTAAATTCTCTTATTAAATTCAAACTCTCCATTTCATATGTAATCTAGTTTTATTTGATTAATTGAACTTTACAACATACTACTATTTTCATCACCCCTTGTTTCACTCTCCTCCACAGCTTATAATCAACGGTCTCACTTTCAATTAACATACTCCAAGCTTTGCGTTGACCCCCCTGTTTTTTGTTGTCTTAATTATCCATTAAAATCAAACACACTACTAATATATCAAACTCAAACATCATTAATTTTTGCGCATGCACTTTCATCGTCGTTTTTCCTAGTGCACGACGCTTCCATCTCTCCCCCTGATCCAAACAAAATCACAGGGGGAAAGAGAGAGAGAGAAGATTAACTAATCGACGCAATGGCTTCACCGGACGACAGCCAAACGAGACCTAAAACCGTAGATCATCAATATATGTATAATGATAATAGCAATTTCCAGGCACAACAGCAACATCATATGTATCCTCAAACGCCACCTGTCATGTACCCAATTATCCCCTGTCCTCACCCTCAGGCCGCCTACCCGTACACCCCATCACCACCGCAGTCATCATCGTTCCACCACGTCTCGATAAATTACCCATATAATAATAGTAATGCAGGCTACTACTACAATAATAACAATAATAATAGTAGCAATAATTACAACCAGCAACCCTATATTCAAGGAGAAATAATTCGGAACGAGACGTTTTCCTCTTCGTTCGGCCGCATGATGCTGATTCTAATGGTGGTGCTTGTGGCTGCCATGTGCATGATGAGCCTTGCCACGTGGCTCCTCTACGGGACCTACGTACCGGAGTTCGAAGTCGCCTCCCTTAAGGTTTCGAATTTCAGCGCCACCAACACAACCCTAAGGGGCACGTGGATCGCTGACGTCATCGTCTACAACCCGAACGAGGAGTTGGCGGTTAACTTTGAGCGCGTCAGGTCTCTGGTGTTCTACAAGGGTGTGATCGTCGGTGCGTCTACTTTGGATTCGTTTCAGGTCGAGAGTAATTTGAGGTTCAATATGAATTTCAGCGTGGCGGCGGCAGAGGCGGATGAGGAGAGGGTGGTCAGCGTGGGCCCGGGGAGTAGTAGTATTAATAATAATAATAACAATAATAATTTGCATGGATTGGTTTTATCGGCTCTTGCTCAGGATTGGAGCAACGGGGCGGTGGTTTTCAGCTTGAGGATTGCTCTAGATGCTAAATTAGCGTCCCCTAATCAAGTTTACAGACAGGATAATTTGAGAGTTTCTTGCGATGATTTAGAGGTTAAGTTTATGGCTGCTGATATGGATGAAGGGAGGTTGAGTCGGGGGTTGGGCGCGCAATGTTTGATACGTATACGCGATAACCAGGTATGTATAAGTATAGATGCATCATACATCATACATGTGTCAAGTGGTGGGGCCAACATACTGCCAAACGTGCTCATGCCACCACAACATTTCTCAAATCCATATTATTTTATATACGGATTTAAATACAGATCTTGTATTTTACGATTTTAAAATTCTGGTTCCGCTAGTACGTGTGTGTATGCATGGTAATATTGTAATTTTGGAATAAATGTTCAACTTTTGCATGCAGGGATAACATCAATGATATATGTATAAATGGAGCAACGTCCACGTAGGATAATGTACAGCCACGATCGGGCCTACCTGAGTTTCGGTAAAGCGGCCGTATGCATGCTGCAGTGGTGTCGAATTGATATATGGATCGCCTGATAGATGAAGATTTTTTTCATTAGTTTTTCAAGTGTCGTTTCCGAAGAAGATCGTCGGAAATTCTGCAGTATGGCGGCGAAGTTAAGTCTTTACGGAAGTACTCTTTTGAGCTAGGCTAGCTTAATACAACGGCTGGAGACAAGAAATTAAGGTTTTGATCTGGAGGAAAATGATCCTACTACAACACTATATATATATTCAGGTTGTGAATTAATTAGTAGAATGTTTTCTTTTTAATTTCCTGACTGTGTTTGTATATATATATAATATATACTGCATGCCCATGTCTTATATTATTTATTTCAAGGATTAAGATGTGTTTCTATTTCATTTCTAAGGTGCTGTTTATGTATATATATTTAAAATAATAAAATTGATATTTTAAACATATTTTGGGCCGAATTTTAAGTTGTAGGTATCTTAATTTTTAAAAGGTTTATTTACAAATCAATTTTAATTTTAATTTTAATTTTGTTAAAATATCTTACATGTCTCATTAAAGTATTATTTAGGGGGGAAAATGTAAGTAGAAACGTAATGCACTTATTCAAAAAAATAAAATAAAAAATGTAATGAAATTAGCGCTTTATTTTTATTTTTTATTTTTTATTTTCCTTTTTCATTTTTTCGTCTCATCTTCCCCGTCGAGAGCCTTTTGCTTTCCGCCGCAGAACTCTGCTAATTCACAGAATCAATCGGGAAAATTACCAGTATCAGATTTCAAAATTTCTAAAGCGAGTGACGTCATCAATGGTGCCCCTTGAGATCGAGAGTCAGACTCAAGCAAGAAAAAACACAGCCCCTCAAAAAGCTGGATACACGACAAAAAAAAGCCCTCCGCCTTCTCGCCGAAGCTCCGTCACTTTTTCTCCACGTGTGCTCTTCCACCCCACGGCACCCTCCACCACCCTCCCCCTTTATAACGCCTCCGCCTCTTCACCAAATTCCTCACCCACCCAAACCCTCCAACTCCTAATTACCAATGGCTTCCTCCGCCGCCTTCGCCGCCGCCGCCGCCGCACCCGCTGGTTTTCATAGAAACAACAGGGTAGCCGATGCTATTCCGCCTGATGACGTGGCGCCACCCCGAGATGCTCCACCGCCGCCGCCGCCACCGGCGGCAGCAGGGCATGCAATTTACGTTCAGCAACTGTACCGGGATCCACCGCGGCAGCGTTTCCAACGCCTAGAGCTGACATTCCTCTGCCGCACCTTAACCTGGTCGGTCCTGATTTTCATTTTCACCGCCAGCCTCTCCATCCTCCTATGGCTGATTTTCCACCCAACTTTCCCCCAACTCCACGTGACCTCCGCCACCATGTCGGCTGTCACCTTCACCAACACCACCAAAGCCACGGCCGAGTTCAGCATCACCCTCCAACTCACCAACACCAACCGCCACCTCACCACCATATACGACCAATTTCAGATCTTCCTCATTTACCCTTCCCAGCAAGTACTCCTCTCACAAAATTACCAGCCCCCATTCGTTCAGCCCAAGAAAACCCGAACCACAATCGAAACCAATCTCGGTTTCACCAACCTTGATCTGGGGAATTACGTCGCGAATGGATTGAAGGAAGATCTGGATCGAGGGAGTTTGAACCTTGGAATTAGGATTCTTGCTGTAGTGAGGTATAAGAATGGGAAATGGAAAACAAAGTCTCAGTTCATGAGGGCCTATTGCAGTGGTGTAAGTTTCGGGTTTACTTCGATTAACAGGCCGGGCATTTTCTTGAATCCTTACCAAGAATGCGAGGTTTACATTTATACGAAATAAAATTATGTGCCCTGGTATAAATTTGTATGTAACATGTTGTCTAGAACATGAAGTATGATCAATGGAAGTATGCTTTTAGTACAAATTAATGATCTGATTCTAATTGATTCTCGTCTATGTATAAGTAAAATCATTTCCTAGTGTTCTTTCTAATTGTGAATATTGCCAATGTTTTGCTGAAAATGCGAACTTATGGCATGATGAGGGAAAGAATACGTAAGATTGAGCTCTCGTAGGTGTTGTTTCATCATTGAGTGCACATTTTGTTGTTGTTAGCGAATCGAGAAATTTCATACCCTTTGGACGCGAAACGTGCCTCCACTTTCCATACTAAATGAGAATTTATGCCTTATTGAGGAACTTCGATTTTCAATGTTTGTAATGAAGATATGTTGATACATATATCTAACTTCCACATTTGTTTTCTGGTATTGGTGTTCTACATTCGACACGTGTAGTATCTTTCTCGGAGATTTTGTCCCCTGCCGTAATTTTGCAGCCCTTTTGGCGGCGAAGTTGTTTTTACTATCTTGGATTGATACTGAATTGATTGCCCTTGTCGTGAAGCTAGCTAGATATCGTTGACCTGAAAATCGATATCTCGGTTTTACAGTTTATAATATGAAAGGCGTGTTGCTTTCTCGGTTAACTAATAAATTCTCTTACGTGTTAAATTCTGATATGATCATCTATCATCCTCTTTATGACACGTAGTTCCCCTCAAAGTGGCGTATGAATAACTACACCTCGCATACTATAAAGTTCGTTTTTATGAAGATTTTCTGTGATTAGGTTTCGACACATAATATCGGTTCTGTAATCTGGTTTAACTTGCTAAAATTAGCTTCAAGAGAATCACATTGAGATTTTTGCCTGAAGCTACTAACAGTTTTATTATTTGCAAATGAAAAATTGCGAGTCTCCGTGCATGGAAGCGACAAAGGCTTTTATTTGCTTGATCTTCATCTATATTTAGAAGAATCGCAGTTCTTTGATCAATTTCTTCAAACCTAATTATGTTGGACTTCAAAATTTTCAGGGTTAGTCTGCAAATTACCTCAAAACTAATTTCCCAGTATTAGTTGTAGAGAACCTGATTCGAGTGGATGGTCCATCATTCGAAAGAGTTATTGTTTATTTTGTGATTTTTTTTCTAGTGACCCTATTCTAATTATTTATTAAATATGGTTCTTGAATTTGAGTTGGCAATATTTTCCGACGAAGAGGTGAATGAATGTACATTTGATCACATGCAATGGCGGCTTTACTTTATCGGTAAGTATCTTCTTTAACTACTCGTTTAAGTACTTGAAATTTTAGTAAAACTTGGAGATGGGATTCAAATTTCTTCCCTGTTTAAACGAGAAAGCGAACCAAATCCATGTTTACATATTCTAAAACAAAATTTATATATTATTGATCAAGACTAGTTTCTTTGATGCTAATTATGTAATTAATTTCAATTGTCAATTTTGCTAATATATATGTTGTATTTCTCTGGGATCAGGGATTTGCTGTACGTCATACACCGATGTTGGCTGAACGAAAATGTTCTGGTGAGTTTGGTCTTGTGATAATCATCTGTGACATACTTATTGTCCTGTAATAATCTTGTTATACCCCCAAAATAATGGTTTTGACAAAATAAAAAAAAATAAAAAAAATAAAAAAAAATCAGTATATGATTATTTGCAGTTTCTGGATATGCCTTCTTAATATTTTGCGTGGTAGTTCATAGTTTGTTCTGCAGCCATTTCGTTTCAAAGGTATTTTATTCCAGGCGCGCATATGTTTACCTGAGTTAAAATGTAGCCCAAGCCCTTGATTTTCATTAAGCCTACAGATTTAGACTTGAGGATCTATGTGAGTTCTCTATCTCATTTATAAATTGGAAAAAAGTTTCTGATTCATGTCGATTCCGATATGAAAATTTCCGATTTCGAAATAGTACTTTTCGTTCTGAATTTCGATTTTCCCAAAATTGTGTGTGTGTGAGATTTCAATTTCGATTTAAACAAGTTTTCAAGATTTTCCGAAAAGAGGAAAACAAAATGGAACTTCTCCGAAAATGCTAATTACAATGTGAATCTTCGGATTTTGAACTCGTATTTTCAGGGCAAGTGATCTCTTACACGCATTATATACACACACATGTTGGTTGGTGTAAGTCTCTCTCACACTCCCTCACTTTCTCATTCCCACATATACACACACACATACACTTAAAGATCTTGCTGCTGTGCACTGCTCTATATGGTTCCAGATGATAGATTTCCAGTAGTTATTTTTTTAGATTTTAGATATATTTTTTTTTAATGACATGTCTACGTAATCTAATTACATGCAATAATAATATGAATTGAAAAAGGATATAAACAAGAGAAATAAAAAAAGGAGTGATGCTTCTCTCACATCAGACTTTGTACTCATCCCTTTTTTCCTCCTTTCTCCACTACTTTTTCTCTCTCTTTTTTCTTCGGACCAATTCTCCATATTTAACAGTTTTTATCATCACATGCTTTATTCGCTTTCCCTATTTTGGCATTTCCTCCTTTTTCAAATTCCATTTTCATTTGCTCTCATATTTTTTTATTTTTTTTGATTTCATTTGCTGAAATTAATTTTGAGTCCATTATTTTTTTTTAATTTAAATGTTATTTATTTTATTGCTGGTGTCACAAATTGGTGCATCACACATCACAGTTAACACACAAACACACACACTGAGTGGGGAGTTGAAGTTTTCTCGAACCCCAAGGATGATAGTGTAGGGACAATTTGCTGGTCAGCAGGTGTATATTACTTGTTTTTTAATATATTATATTATAAAATAAAAAGTTTAGGTCAAAAAGTATATTATATAACTTATATTGATGAAACATTATTAAAAATTAGATTTAATTTTGTCAGATCAAAAAGTTTAGGGATCTGTTGCCGCCCCTGTCTTTACTCTTTAGGATATACTTTAGCTGCTCCATATTTTTTTGCTGCCCCAATTTAATATTCCTTATCTTCATTCCCTCTCTCTTTTTATTTATTTATTATTATTATTTTTCTTCTTTTACATAAATTATTGGATTCCAATCACTTTAAAATGAAATCTTGTGGACACTCTCTACATTATTAAATGTATTTTATATAACTCAATCTCATATTTTTCTAATATTATCAATACATTTTAAATGTACATACATACGAACTTGGTTTTATGATCTATATTGTGCGATACTCAGTGAAATACAAACTAGGGTAACATGATTACGAAAATAGTACATGCTAACTACTTTCAGTGCCACTTCAAAATTTGAAGACAAATTTTAATTTACCAATTTTACCCTTCATCTTTAATTGATACTTAACATTTATGTGGAGAGAAAAGTAAAATCTTATTTGCCATTTAATAGAGAATTATACATGTAATTTGGAAAGAATACGGCAGCTGTGTAAGAAATAATTGGGTAAGATAATTTAGGGTAAACTACACCCACACCCTGAGGTATGCTTAAATAACTTTAAGGTCCCTTGATATCAATAATTACACTCACCCCCTGAAACATAGTTAGAAACTCTAATGGAATAATTCGTTGGATACGTTATTCCGATAGAGTTCTAACGGACTATTACTTTTAGCTAGTCGTGGAGACAACATAGAATTATGAGGTGACATGGCTCCTCTAACATTTCTTGAATCACGCATAGCTCTTTGTTGTCTTCACCACTTCCGGAAACTAATAGTCCGTTAAAACTGTATCGGAATAACGTATCCAATGCATTACCTCATTAGAGTTTATAACTATGTTTCAGGGTCAGGGGGTGCGTGTTATTATCAATACCACAGGGACCTTAAGGGTCCATTTGGATGGAGGGATTTGATTTGAGGAATGGATTTGAAATGACTTCAATTTTGGAGTCATTTGAAATCCACCACTATTGCTCCAAAAACAACTAAAAATGAGGGGCGGGGATTTGAAATTCATCTCCAAATCCCTCAATCCAAACAAGTCCAAGGAATTTGTTATTATGGATTTGAAATCCCACCCCCAAATCCCTCTATCCAAATGGACCCTAAAGTTATTTTAGCATACCTCACGAGTGTGGGTGTAATTTACCCGATAATTTACATATATTACATCAAGCTCTATATTTACTTTTTTATCATATCCCACATGTAAAGTTTGCGTTTTACTTTCCCCCAATCGCCAGCCACATGCTGGAGTGGTGCCGAATTACATGCTATAATATAGTTAAACCTCTATAAATTAATACAATGAGACTATTAAAAATCCTATTAATTTAGTGAAATATTAAATTATTGAACTAATAATTGAATAGATTTTTACCGAATCATAGGTATTATTTGAGCGAAATTATTAATTTATCGAGATTCTGTTGTATACTAAATTCTAACAAACGTTCCTGTGCGTGAGTATTAAAGAAAAAGCGTGAAAGGAATATACTAAAATCGAACAAACATCAAATACTTGACCCCACCACCACCACCCCCCGTCTAAATTCTCAAGCCTATATTACTACACAGCCAACCCCCACAACTCTCCGCATTCCCACTTCTCTCTCAACAAACCGAAAAAAAAACCTCCTCCACCCCACCCGCCACCGCCGCCGTCAGCATGTCGGAGAAAGACTGCAACCACAGCAACAAGGACCACCGGAGAAAGCTCCTACGGCGGTGCTGCGGCGGGCTCCTAATCTTCAACTTCATCGTCCTAATAATAATCCTGCTAGTCTGGTCAATCCTCCAGCCAAGAAAACCAAGATTCACACTCCAGGACGCCACCATCTTCAACCTCAACGTCTCCGCCCCGAACGTAATCTCCACCACCATCCAGGTCACCGTCAACTCCCACAACCCGAACTCGAAGATCGGCATCTACTACGACAGGATGAACGTCTACGCCATCTACCACAGCCAGCAGATCACCTACTACACCGCCATCCCGCCTGTCTACCAGGGCACCAAGGAGGACAACGTCTGGTCTCCGTTCATCTACGGTGATAACGTCCCCGTCGCGCCGTACAACGGCCAGGCACTCGGTGAGGACCAATCTGACGGCGCCATCAACATGCTCATCAAAATTAACGGCCGCGTTAAGTGGAAGTGCGGCTCCTTCATCTCCGGCAGGTACCATCTGCATATCACGTGCCCGGCTTATATTCCACTTGGGAATAGCAAGAACACAGGTATTGTCGTCGGAAACGCCGTTAAGTATAAGCTTTCACAGAGCTGCAGTGTCAGCGTTTGATTGGTGAACGGATTAACCAATCAACGTACGTACCGCATAATTAATTAAATAGGATGATTAAAATGATAATGTTTTACTTTGGGTTTTCTTTTGTTTGTTTTTGTTTTTCCAGGTTTTTAAATTGGTTATAATATTTTATGGTTGATCGGAGCATATTGTATGAGCTGAAGAATTGTACATTTTGCTGGAAAATAAGATTTGAACTACTATCTTTGTGTAACACTACTTTTATGATGCAATAATAATAATAATTGTTTCTTGTTTGGAAACTTTAAATATAATGTCTGTTTATTGAAGTTATTATTTTGTCTATCATTTAATTTTCAATATGTTGAGTAGTCCTTAAGTCATGGATGCATGGGTACAACTTTTAAGTAATTATTTTGTAGTGATCCTATATATTGATTGTTGTGTGGGCTATGGAGGCAGTATTATTTGTTCATTAATAGAATATTTTGTTTTTGAAATTGTGGTAAATCAAGATATGATAATAAGTATATAAAGTCAAAAAGGAAATTAAATCCTCTTTCCGTAGGACATAAAACGAGTACAAAATACTCGACAATACACAAAAAGTAACCACTAGTTTATACTCCCCTACGAACCAAAGTATTTGCTTGCTTAGATCGTCACGTATAAAATAAATAAATTTATGAAATAAAGCAAAAAAATATATAGAAATTGACTAAAATGTATATTGATTAATTGTTTGTCAATTAATTTGATAAATAATTGGGGGGAATATATTTAGCTGAAAGAAGCATTTTATATCAATTATTATGTATGTGGGTGTCCATGTATTTGTGTGTAGCGTAGGGTAGGGGCCTAGCAATTTTGAGTATCCACCGTCCCAAGTTATAACCAGCTAATAACTGGGCCTACCTTTTTTTTCTTTTTTGTTGACAAAATTAATAAATATTGTGAAAGAACCGTCCAAATTTGCGAATTATTTTGATTTAGAGGGTGTTTGGCTAAGTTTATTTTAAACAGCTGATAAGCTCTAAGATGTTTTAAGAGCTGATAAGCTGTTATGTCTTATTTTTAAGATTTATTTTTAGAGTGTTTGGATAATGAACTTATTTCCTATTTTTACTCATATTAAGATCTTAAATAAAAAGGTGGGGTAGAGGTACTTTTTTAAAAAGATCTTATTTGCTCTCCAACAGCTTATTTTTAAAAAAATAAAGATCTTTTTCTAAAAAATTACCAAACACTTTGGAAGAACTTATAAGCTCTAAAACATCTTATAAGCTCCTTTTAACATCTTATAAGCTTAGCCAAACACCTCTTAATTTGTGAAATAATTTATATAGAAGGGGGAAAAAATTAATTGTTCTAAGTCGGCCCAATCTACATCTTCTGATCCATATTTTCACTCTCTTTGGTTTAATGGACCGTAGCCTAATTAAAAAAATCACAGAAGAGACTGTAGTTTTATGGGCCGTGACCTGATTCGGAAAAATCCATATTTAATTTATTCTTTCTGGGTTATTATATTTTATACTTTTAAATTAATATTACTAATTTCTTTGAATTATTTATATATTAAAATTGATTTTCAGAATCAAACAACACATTATGAAATGATGTTTTATCAGTACTTTCATTTCATAGACCTTATATATATGTCATTTGTGTGAAAACATTTACAAGAGTTTAAAAATTTAATAAATTAAAATATGTCATTGACCTAATTTATAATGTTGCGACTTTGTTATCGTGCCATTGTTAACATAACAGTTGAGATTAGTTGAGAAAACTCGGGCAGAACCAAACGTAAAACAAAAACTAGTTGATGAAGAAGCTAAAATGCCCAAATCATGCTAATTAATTAATTAATTAATATAATTAAATATACACTAAAAGGGGAGAGAGAGAGAGAGAGAGAGAGAGAGAGAATAAACGGCAAACGCCACAATTGTACGGTGGTTGCACACACCGACCGTTACACTTCTGAAGGTGAAGTTTTATGTTGAAGAATGAAGCCTTGTCCCGGTGACCGGCCACCGGACGGATCGCGAGCTGGAGAAGCTGAGGGAGTGAAATACAGAGGTGAAGCGCAAGGCGTCGAAAACGGCGTCGTATCATCAATCTCAACCACCACCGACTCTCCCACGGGCGGCGGCGGCGGCTCTTCCACGGCGTTAAAACACTCCTCCAAGCACACCCTGCTTCTATTGCCATCATTAATTACATGTTTATTTGCTTCTTTTTCGGCGACTACCGGAAACGTTGATTTCGAGGCAGGCGAATCTAGGTCTTCTCTCTCCTCTTCCTTGATGGTGAACAAAAATCTCGGAGGACCAAACATCCCCTGAATCTTCATCAAGTCGATATCGATGACTTCCATATCCGATTGCTGATTCGAATTGATGAGATCATCATCTCCAGTATCAGCGGCGGTCACGGAGTTGCGCTGGAGGCAGAATTGAGGTCTAACACAGAAGAAATAGAGTAGCTCCTTGGAGGAGGAGGAAGTGGATTCCGACGAAGAGTGGTGCGAGGCTTCATCTCCGTCGACGCCGACCGAATTGGTTTGACGGCGGAAGACACGGCGGCGCCATAAGACATAGAAGAGCTCAGCGAAGAGTGCTAGCAGTGAAATTGCAAAAATTATGGCGAGTGCGATGCCTAGCTTGCTTGGTCCTCCGCCGCCGCCGCCGCTCATTTTGCTTGCTCCGGTAAAAAAATATCTGCCTTTAATTATCCTACTATCTAAAAATTTACATATTCATATTAACAGAAAAATAAAAATGAAATGATTTGACTGAATTATAAACTATCTCGAATTTGAGAAGTGCAGCCTAAAAAAAAATCTTAACGGAGAATCAACATAAGGCAAATTTACTTGATTAATAACAGAGGATCGGCGAGAAAGTTAGTGAGGGAGACAGGGAACCGGAGGAAGCGGGATGGTGATGAAGGGGGGATGGGTTATTTTAGAGAGGGGGTGACTGGATTTAGCCGGTTGGGGGTGAGTAATGAGTAGTGACTAACGGATAAGTTCTTGGAAATAGAGCTTTCTTTTTTCGTAGTGAGGTGGAGGGAGTGACGTGGCAATTTCTAAACAATTTGAATTTAATGCGCGCTGTGAATAACTTATTTGGGTTATTTGACATTGTCAATTTGGGCTCTTATAAATTATCTTTTGAATTTCTTATGTCTAACTGATGTGATAATATTTCCACCAAACCATTAAATAATTTTATGTTGGATAAGAAAGAAATTGAAAAAATTACTTTACTTCAAAAAAAACAAATTATTAATTTGATGTGGACAGGAAAAAAAAATTGTTGTACACTTGGTCAAACCGAAATTTTGGGTGTTGGATATGAAATAATTCGAGTAGTTTAGTTGTGGGACTTTCGGTTGTTTACATGCAAGCTACATGTGAATTTTGGTACTTATTATTTTCAATGTAGGTGGTTTATTTGGGGAGAAAATGACATCTTTAATGAACAGGCCTTGTTTATATCTATGAGGGAAGATAGAAAAGCAAATAAAAAATAAAAAAATGAAATAAAATGCATAGCTATGGCCAATGGGCCATGTCACATCCCCAACGAAAATGGCATGAAAAGCCCATTCTTGGTGACATGATTTTAGTTAAGGCCCATCAATTTTGGGCTTAGTCTTGATCCGCTATCACTTGCCAATAGTTAATGCGGGATGCGGATCGTCGGTCAAATCGATGCAAGCGGGAAGTTGATCAACAACGGACACACATCCAACGAAGGAGTTTACTGAGAGTTGGAAGTCCAATACCTGCACAACGAACACACATAAACTAGGCTGGCTGTTGGTCCGACGAAACCTCTCCGACGGTCAAGAGAATTGAGTAACAAAACTGAAGTACCTTGTAAAAGTGAATTTGAGAAAGAGAGCTTTTTATAATTAAATTTAGTAGAATTCCCATTATATAAATTATGAAACCCTAACTTGAATTGATGGCCTAATGGGCCTCAATCAATTAAATTGAGGGGTTAGGCCCATTAGGTGATTTTTCTGTACATGGATTATGCTATGGGCTTATGGAATGACCCAAATAACAAAATAATAATTACTTGGCCCATAAGAGCAGCCCAATCAGCTGTATCATATTTAAGAGATTCTATTTCTCTATCATATTCTGCAAGTTCGATACTACATCGAATTATTTATATCGGGTGTTTATTAACTGTGGATAAGGTTTATATAATTGTTTTTGCTTCAATTTCTTTTATTTGAAGAAACTGATATAGTGTTGCCACGTGTCTCAAATAATTAAAAAATATAAAACCCAATATAATATCTCACTTGTCACCTTTTAAATTTCCACCATGCAAATCAAATGAATTCAGATAACAATTAGGAGGACGACAGCTTTTTCCAAGATTATATACCAAAATTTATAAAAGATGAACAAATTGTGGATATTAAAATAAAGAAGGCAAATAAATATATAAAGGTGGTATGAAAAAGGTGGATGGATTAACAATAAAGTAGGGCTTTACAAGTAAAAATGAATGCACGAGGTGTGCAAAAAAGAGAACAACTTTGTGTTAAAAGGGCTGTCCACTTTCCACACTCTAAATTATCTTTAATCACTCATCATGGAGTATCTTCCTTCCTTCTTTTTAGGGCTAAATTTAAATTAGATTCCATATGCCTTCAACTATTCAAATATTCCTTTTTTATTTCTTTAAATATATACATGAATTAGGTACGAGCTAGTTTGTCTCCTAGATTATATTATATATATTTAAATGCGCTCGTAATGTGGCCTAGTTTATAGAGTACGAATAATGTGATATATAAGTAACTGTACGAGTTTGATTCCACTGTTTACAATTTTTAGGTCGAACTCGTCGCATATGATAATGATTGGCAACTGATTTTAATTATTTTACTGGTTGTAGATATTGATAGATTTCTGGTATTATGACCATCTTTTTAATTATATAAATCTTGAAATATTTTGTTTCATTTAACTTAGTATTATCTAGCTAGTACATGTATTTATTGCACCACAATTTGTAGTTCATTTAACTTGATATTATCTTGAAATTAAACATATATCATTAGTTTTCATGATTTAAACATAGAATCTTTATCTATCTGTAACCCCACCCCACTCCCCACATATATTTAACTTCATTACCTTTTTTTGTTTTTTAAATTATCCATAATATTTAATTTTGGACACTTATTCTTCAACTTTGTATTGCTTTATAGTGATAATAAGAATGTTGGATTTAAGAAAATCAAAGAAGAAAAAAAGTGATTCTTTTGTAAAACAAATCGCATTGCATTAAAAGTAGTGCTTCCTTTTTTTTATTTTTCTTAGAGAAGATTTTGCTTTTATTCTCGTTTAATTAGCCTTATAAAGCAAAAATAAAATAAAGGTGCTCTTCCTTTGCGCGACACTTACGTTATGGATCGAGTTTCGGACACGAAAAATGTCTGAAACACTGATTCATTCATAAGTTGAACTTTGCGTGCTACATAGTGCTCAGATGTAAACAAATTTTAATTACTGTTCAAGATGCCACGCTTTCTAAATAAAGTTACTTAATTTAACTAAATCTCTTCTTAATTAGTGTATTTCATTGGATTGAGCTGTTTGATTCTCCAGACAAGATAATTGCCATGATGAGAATCATAAAGATTCCAAAAGGCATCTATAATAAGCATCCCTTTAATTTTTTTTATAGTACTATATATTTTTTTAATTTACTCTTGTTATAATGTCTTGTATATGTTCATTTGAATTAAAATATTTTGATTAATTAATGCAGCTAACTATACCGATGTATTGCGTAATTAATCTCTACGCTCATGCAATAGTTTGTAAATTAGTTAAACGACATATGTAAACACATTAGGCATAATTACTACACTAGACATAATCCATATGAACAAACTCGAGTACGAGTAACCCTGTCTTTTTTTTTTTTTGAAAAAATTAAAATGAAAATCTCACTCAATCTTAAATCTACTGGAGACGTAGAATTAGGTCGAATGACTTTACTTTTTTGCCCTTTATCTTTGGTGACCTCGTATAAAATAAAAGAAAAAGCAAGTTATTTTCACCTTTAATTTGCTTTTGCTTCTTTATTTTTCGTTTTCATTTGTTTGTGTTCCTATACGTTCTCTCTCTCTCTCTCTCTCTCTCTCTCTCTCTCTCTCTCTCTCTCTCTCTCTCTCTCTCCATTTCTTTATGGTTTCTGGATGCTTGGAACGCGTTAAAAGGCTCCCCAGTGATTTACACTTTAGACAGTCTGTGTACAATTCCAAATTTCGAACCCCAAAAGAGAAAATTTACTATACTTCGCCTTTCTATATTTTACACTGTACTGCTGCTGTACATGATCACAACTTTTATTTGATCCTATAATAATTCAATATTTTTTACTGCTATTAATTTTCTAAAAGATCGCTCATTTGATGCTATCTATATATATATGCTTGCATAATCATTAATCAGAGTTTATATAAAGTTTTTTTTTTTTTTTAAATAATTTAAATATTGAAGGAGATATGAAGGAATCCTATTCTTTTATTCCGCCTACCTTGTATTTATTTTACTTTTTAAATATATTTAATATGAATAAATTTGAACTGGAAAAATAGAAAGAGGGAACTGAAACTGATACGAATCAAGTAATATTAATAATAACTGAAAAAAAGATTTACGTTATGTTTCCTAAAAACCAAAAAAAAAAAAAAAAAAACAAGAACCCTAATATTACAAATCTTGAATTTTGAAGACCACGCGCCTATCAACATTTTCAAGAATACCCACGTCATCAACAACCGACTGATCTTCAACTGTAGTACTGTCACCATCAAACGACCAAAGATTCAAATCCAACGAAACTCCACGACTCGCCGTCGACTGCCTCTCCGTCGGCCGAGACGGGGATCTTATCTGTCGTCGTGCTCGACCTTTGGA